ACGAAACGCTGCGGAAATGACAAAACGGCCCCTCAAGGCCAATCAGCACCACGACTTTGACCTCGACCTCCATCACCAGCATCGATTAAGTCCACGTTTTTGGCGCATGTGTTCCCGTATTCCCGACATTGTTTTGTCCGCTCAATCATTGGCCATCTTAGGAGCGGGCGAAATCGAATTCGGGCATGTCTCGCATCGCTGGCCGTGCGCCAGAGCTTGGCGATACACGTAGATGCGGAGAAGGGTGTACAAGGGAAGTGGACGTACTGTGTCCTTACATTATATCGCCGTTGTCGTTCTCGCCGCCGTCGTGGTGCGCGCGCGAGATGCTGGTGTGTTGAAGTCCGAAGTCTGCCAACGGAACGGAGCGGACTTTTATCACGCACGTGGCCTTGGTTCGAGCGCCGACAATGCGGGGCAGCCGTCCTCGATATCGTCAACCAAACGCGCAGGAGCACGCACTTGGCATGGGTTCGGAAGCAACTAAGGTAGCTGGATCGAAGATGACGTGAATGTCGACGAAATGAGCAGGACAAAGTTACAACGAGTATGTACGGTAAATACCCAGTCACCTTTGATCTCTGCCTCCCCACTGTTCAAACTCATCTCGCCACCAGTGCTGTCCAAATCCCGTAGCCAATTTCGCCATCGCAAAGGGACTAGTCGTACAAAGTGTCGCCCATACGTTGCAAGACATATCAACCAGGTCCGAGGAAAGAAAACTATTGCCAACTACCTACGGACGGAAAGGACTGGACAGAGGGAGAACGACAAGCAAAACATCGATTTTGGTACGCTGTCTGCTTACTTATTGTGCTTAGACTGACTTAAATCTTTCACCCAGGCCGAACACCACGTCAACAAACCCTCAGGTCCCAATCCTCACTCTGCCGCGGGCCGTCTCCAAATACTTGCCACCACCATCCGGGCAGTGAAGCCACACCCCGCTCCAAGCCTCGGCGATCTGAGCACCGAGGATTTCGCTCCGCCGCCAAACCATGACACGGTAGCGAGCTTCGCGCCACACGATAACGCTCTGACCACATGGAGGGCCTGAAACGTTGTCGACAACGAACGGCCAGCATCTGGGAAGCGTCGACAAGGGGAGGAAGAACGCGCGGGAGGCCCTTGTCATCCAGCGCCCAGCGTGGAAGGCGCCACGATGAGGCTGACGATGAGGCGACAAAACACGCCCTACTCAGCAAGGAGGAATGCGAGGACTGAGGGAGGCAGTAGTTGGGCACGAGAGAAGGGCCAGGCAACGACGAGCAAGGTAAGTATGCACTCCCTCCATGAAGATGGCATAACTCATCATTACGACATCTAGCAGGACCTGTCCTTTCCCCACATCCCTGCTCCCAGCCCTCCCCCCAGCTACTCCCACATTTTTTTCGCGCTCCCTTCAACACCCCGCTGGTCGCTGGCGAGCACTTGACGACCTACACAATCCAAGACCGCAGAGCATCAGGGCGCCCGTCTAGCCACAGCCCCTGACCTCCCTCCCGACCTCAAATAGCGATGATGAGTGTTACGAAACGCCTGCGGAAACGTATGAGATTCAGCGCGGGACAGCACATTGGGGCGAAGAACGATTTCGAGAAGCGTGGGGGACATTTGCTATGCCTAGAGAGATAGGGTGATGGGGAATCGAGGCAGTGTCGCTGTACAGACCACGTATGTTCGCCCACACGCCGCGACGAGTGAATGAGACCTCACCGTATTGGGTAGGCGTCGGCCAGCTGCGCGGGAATAGTTTGTCTCGGTTGCGAGAGTTTGGGGTTACCTTGGGGCTGTCCCATCGCATCAATGCCGCTAGTCGATCGCATGTGCGTGGCCCATGCGTTAATAGCGCTTTCGGGCGTGTCCTCGCACAAAGACGCATATGCATACGCACGGGGAACGGGAACGAGAGCGGGAACGCGAGCGGGACGGGAGACGCACGCGCGACACAACACGGTGCAAGAGGGAAAGGACGGATGAGAGGAGGGAGAGAGACGGAGACAGAGATGGAGACAGGAAAGAAACCGACGGGGAACGAAGGGGAACGAAAGGGGCGGAGAGGACGAGTACGCACCGGCGAATCCAGAGTGCAGGCGCGCGATTGCAGGATGTGGGGTTGCGCACGCGTATCCTGGGAGAGGACAGCGAGGCGTTGGTGCTGTGAGGGAAGGGGAGTCAGCGATGTGGTGCACAGGCGAGGAGGGGAGACAAGGAGAAGGAAATAGGAAAGGACATGAGAAAGGGACGGGATGCCCGGAATGAAACGATGCACGACGGACGACTAGAACGGTAGACGCACCATGCGAAAAAGGCCCAACGATGATGCTACGGGGTGGGATTGACATGGAAGCGAAACGAGACGGGACGGAAACGAAAGAACAGGAGAAAAAGACGAATGAACGCGAAAGGCGACGAAGATACGCACCGACGCACCGACGCACCCAATCTGCGTGTCAAGCCGAAACGTGCTACGTCGACAACAGTGAGTGGGTATGTTTGCGTCTATGGCTTGCGAGCGACGCTGGCGTTTCGCGAAGACGTTGATGGCTGGTAGAACGACGAAGACGTTAGAGGAGGAAGCAATTGGAACGTGAACAAGAGGAGAAGAGAGGTACGCACCTTGTCATTCGATAGCCGCTTCGCAGCGCTGACAGCGTCGTCGTTGTCGACAGCACTCGCGCGCGACCCGTAGACAGGAATCCTGTATTAACAAAATGTAGTGTCGTTAGATCACCCTCAAATAAGCTGGTTTGCGCATGACTTACCTACGCCGTCGTTGAGGGATTCGAGGGCGCCTCGCAGATCGAGCCTAAGATTCATACAGGATCAGCTGCACGGCATGGGATTGGAGGGATCAATGGATAAGGTACGCACTCGTTCGTTGGTTGGTCGTTCGTTCAGCGTACTGACGGCGCCGGGCGTTGAACGTTGAATCATAGTTCCAGCAACCAGTTTTGTAGATGGTCCATCTGATTTCAGACTCGATCAGCAGCGTTCTCTGGTTACGGCCAGGAACTCACGTACTCGCATTCGCACTGACACTGACACGCAGTTGTGGCGCGTCCCGTCTATCCACGGGCACGCTTCACCGCCACACGTCTGGATCCGCGCCGTTCGGACTGTCCCGTCGTTCAAAGTGGACCAACTCGACCGGGACTTGGTGCTCTGGGTGTGCGGTTCGTCGGAATCGCCACGCAGACGACCACGGAGTGCCGACTCTGCAAGAAGCGGCGCGAGGACTGAGGTAGGCGGTAGTGGGGCACGAGAGAGAAGTGACGATGTGGGCAGCCGTCAAACACCATCTCGACAATCGTGCCCAGGCGAAGAACGTGGGGATGAAGACAATATGTGGCGGTGGTGCTGCTCGGGCCCTGGGCGTTGCAATACGCTAGTGAGTGACTTCTTATTTACACATTAGTTAGGTACTTACCTTCGCCATCGTTGCGCCGTCTCTCGAGGTATTCCTCCTCCCATCCCCTTCCGGCGTCATCCCGTTCTTCGTCTGCGTGTCCCCCGTGGAATTACTGCACGACATTTGACCCCATGCCGCCAACGATGATGGCCCGGGCATTGTTCATTGCGCTCTCGGGTTTCTGGCCATTCAGTTCGGAGGGATCCAGTTCGGCCAGCAAGCGCGTCGAGGCTTCTGTTGGGGTCGGGAGAGCGCATGGGTAAGACAGACGACGTGGGTCACAAATGGCGAGTGGCGTGGACAGGTTAGTACTTCTTTCTCCATCTTGTGGAGTGTACGACTCACCCTGCCAGCCCAGACCAAACGAGAGAGTGCGTGTTTCCCTGCTTCATCGTTGTTTCTGACGTCCTCCACGGCAGCCACTTCGTCTTGGGACCGTGTTTCGGAGGGTATGTCGCTGTCGCGGATGTTGCTGCACGGGAAGGGGTTGTGTCAGAAATGTGGCCCACAACCCGTTCGGATAGGATAGACTGGGTTGGACTTGTCGTTGGCGAAGAACTCGGGCGCTTCCTTTGTGTTAGGTAAGCTTGTTGAGCTTGTTTCTTGCGCAAAGTCCTCACTAACGTCGCTGCCTTCCACGCCTCTTCCCTTTCGTTACGACATCATCAGCAAGTTGATTTCGCGCGAGATGTAGACGGGTTATCTCCTTACCGTCCCTCTCGCACCCGTCGCCAATGCTATGCACGTTCAACCAGGTCTTGTGGTGTACATACCCCCTTCCACAACCGAGACACATGAGGACCGTGCCCCTTCGTCCAAGGGCGACATCCGATACAGATGCCCTACTCCGATGACAACACCACGACAATGGGAGACGAGAGTAGACACGGGACTTAGGGTTTCCACTCAACATACCACCACCATCACCCAGCAGCAACAGCGTCTAGTTGCGCCGTCTCGTCTCTCTGAGCCTCTCTCACTCACTCACTCTGCGTACACTCTGCACTTCGCACTCAAATGCCAAGATCCCCAACGCTTACGATGCTCGCCAACCGGTGGATGAGCGCACAAGCTCGACGAGTTGTCGATACGGCCTCGTCACCCACTGCAACGCCCATAGATATCAACGACGTGTTCTCACTCAGTTCACTCCGACTCTCCCTTCAATCTCACTCAATCACCCCACGCCATCTCTTGCCCCCAATTAGACGCACCATCCTCTCTCGACGCCTTCTACAGCACTCAATGACTACCGACTACCGACTACCGACTACCGACTACCGACTACCGACTACCGACTACCAACGTCAACGTCGCCGAATTCGACTCCAGAGTCGATTCCCGCCGTAAGCGGTCCCAATCACCCGCCAACACCCATCAATGCTGCCTAGGCCATCTCCAGACGCGTACAACGCGTCTAAGATCGATGACATGCGAGCACTTACCTAATTATCACAAAACAGGCGCCTTCGAAGTTCGATCTTGCACCAAGTCCAGACCGACCACAACCTGCACAACTACGAACTGGCCTTATCCGACGAAGGAGAACACTCACCCTCATCACATACGACCGACGTCGTCAATCAACATGTCCAGCCCACGGACACTCGAACCGCACAACCCACACGCACGGACTTGGGCTACGCTGAGGCAAACGGCAGGGCAGAGGAGTGGAGAACACAGTTCGTCTGTTAAGGTACGTTGAATAACTATATTTTGAGCTCGTACGGACTCATGGTCGACCCCAGATGCCGTCCACCAACTCCCCTCACCCAACTCCTCCACCTGCGTCTGAGACTGCGAAGGCCCGCTCATCAGCCATATATCACCCGCCCCTGCTGTCCAATCCGGCACTATAGTATTCACGCGCGTGTGGAGACAAGTGTGGCGACCACGGCTACACACAAACCTGGAACTCCAAAAGGACGGGGTCGGGTAGGCGGGCAGAGACATGAGGAGCGACGGAGAGGATTGATAAGGACGCCAGGGCCTGAACGCTCGAACACGCGAAGGGCGAGGAGGAAGGTGCCATTGACGGCCGCGGAGGACGAGGAACGGTGGCGAGAGGATAGGTACGAGGCCACAATCATTATCAGAGGAAATTGGGACTCACCGAGTCGTGTAAGGTCCCCCGAGGACAGCACCATGGTACAGCATCAGCCTCCCTCGACATTGACGGCCAACCATTGCGCCGCGACTATGCACGCCAACGAAGTCCTAGGGGCCACAGCCGGGATTCTGCAGTACGAAGAAGTGCACGCTCCCCTGAGTATCAAGAACCCCAGCATTCTCACCACGGCGTTGACACTCTCCCAGCGCAAGTTAAGCCGTCAAACCCCACGCGACTCGCGACAACGAGAGAATGGGAGAGGTGGGCGGAGCACTGGCGACGACATGGAAGGCGACGATAAGGATAGAATGGCGGGGAGAGAATGAAGGAGCAGTTGACGAACTGCATAAAGAGGTGAGCGCTCACGGGATTGCATAAGACTCACCTAAGGGCAGCTCATACGACCAACACGCACGACATCCACTGCGACGACATCCCCAGACGGGGACGATTTCAGCTGCGGCGATTCGAACAAGGACTACACCCATACAAGCGCTGCCAACGGCAGAAGATTAGAGGACAAGCCTCTCGCACTCATCCCCGCTTCGCATGGCACGTCTAGAAACGTAAGTCCGCCGCTCTTTAATCCAGCTGGACGCAAACTGACTAGGCGGCACAGTTCATTCCCTGAGTCCTTGCCCCGACGCCGGATACATCCTCTGTACCAAGACCAAGCAGCACAATCGACGAGGGAGCAATGCGCAGCTAGCTGACAGCACGACGACGACGACGACCAGAAGGCTCTCAACGGTCCCCTCTAGTTTGGCGACAACACGGAGACGACCACGGAGTGCTGAGATGCTCCCTAATTTGCAACGGCAGTGATGGGGCACGAGAGCGCAGCGGAGGACTCACCGAACAGGGAAACAAGTAGCAAGGTAAGCTCCCTCGCCCTCCGCGAAACAGGCACACTTTATCAACATGTTGTGACCCAGGACGTGCGCAGCGGCGCCTCCCTCCGTTCCCCACATTCCTGTGCCCCTCCACGACATCCCCACATTCCTGTGCCCCTCCACGACATCCCCACCCTCGAGTGCCCACCCATTCTTGCGCACGACCCCACCATTCTCGTTACCCACTTCCTACTTGCGCACACTGCGCAGAGCGGCTTCGAAACCATGGCTGGCGACGACAAGACGAAGGGGAGACTAGCACGGCTGGGCAGGTAATGTGAGGGGTTAGCCCTCATCGCAGCGCACGTACGGTGAAACGAGCCCAATGTAAGCGACGCTGAACGCGGAGATTGTGCCGTCGCGGGGCCCTGGCGACGACTGAGGGTTGATGTTAGCGCAGCTAGGGAGGCTACGATGAGACGCATGGGGGGGGGCAATGGTCCACGACTTACGCAAATGCGGTGCGCAGAGGCGTGCTGCCGTGCTTGGCTCGCTCGTAGGAGACGTCGACGTTGGCAGCGTGGGATACAAATGCGAAATGCGGGGTGAGGCATGGAGAAAGTTGGTAGGCGGCGTGAGATCCAAGGACAACGAGCATCGCCAAGTAATGGCGGCATTCCTCGCATGCTACGTCGCACTGATGCCCCAGAAGAGAAAGCCAAAAGAGACGAGAAGAAGAGGAGAAGAAACGACACGAGAACAGAAAGAGAAAGAGGCGGGGAACTACCTTCGTCGTCAACGACGACACGCTGACAGCGACAACAGACAATGAGCAGGGCGCTGTGGGGGCTATGGGGATGTTGGGGTGCTGTGAAGAGGTCAGCGATGCGAACACGACACGGGCACGGGACGAGCCAGCAAAGTGAGGCAAAGCGAGGCGGGCACAAGAACAAGGATACGACGAGACGGTGAGCAAATGAAATGGCAACGAAAGAAGACGAGAACAAACGAAAGAAGAGGGGACGAGAACAAGAAAAAACGAACACGAACATGGCACGACGCACCCTGTTCGCGTGTCGCATCGAGACAGCGAGAGGAGCTGAACGACATCCTGCGTCAGGGAGGGTGAACGAGGTAAGTGTGCGTCTTTGCGCGTTCGTGTGGGGGACTTAGCTGTGTTGCTTGTTGTTCCAGATACCCTCGTTAGTAGCAATGGTGTTGACCGTGACGAGGGTGAGGCTAGAGCGAGGACGGGTTAGAGCGAGCGATGAAGGCGGAGGAGGAAGCTGACATGCGAAGAGGGAGACGAAGGCGGGATTAAAGAAGAAACCTGCGCTCGACACCGAGCGCAGCGCAAAAGAATGCACGATTAAGATGTTACGCACCTTTCGTTGATTGGTTGGACCCGTTAACGACGTCCTCGTTGTAGATGCAATCGATGCGCTTGTGTTCGCATTGCCGTCGTCATCAAGGACTCGCGCGCGACCCGTTCATTCGTTCGTGGGCCTGTTCGTTTCGCGCTCAGTCAGTCGCGTGCATGGTTTGACGGATCGGGAACTTACTCACACACGCACACTCACTCGCACGCACACTCGCACCCCATCTCGTCCGTCCACGTCCACGTCTCTTGTCTCACGGCCAGTCACATTCGTTGAGAGTCAGCTCGTTCGAGTTGCCTGCGCCGTTCGAAGTCACCCAACTCAGCGAGCTCCCCATGACATCCTCTACAGTCTGGGCAGCACATTGATGATCAGTGTCGAACTAGAGAGTGCCTCCACCTTCTCCGTCGATGCCTGGCGGAACGGAACGTAGAAAGCTTACCTAACGACTGGGAAACAAGCGCCGTTGAACTTGCACCACAACCACCAAGTCCCTTTCAACAACAACGTTCACAACGGCACAGCACCCTCAGCCAGCCAAAGCAGACGCTCAAAGACGTTGACAAGTACAATGACTGCTGGCACAAGCGCGAGAACTCACTGGGACCGCGCAACCCACGCGTACACACCTATGCCGCACGCACCCTGAAGAAAGGGAAGAGGGAGTGTTGAATGTTGAACGTAGGACGTCTATTAAGGTACGTAGACTACAGACACACGGAATGCGTACAGACTTACATGCGACTACAGTTGCTGTCCCTTCCCGCCACCCAACTCTCTTACTCACCCTCTCATTACGTCCCACTCCACCACCGCAACGTACAAGCATGTCGACGGCTACGATGACGCAGGTCCCAGAGCAGCCAGGATAGACACAAAGAGGGTTGAAAACAGCACACATGAGTGACGAACAGCCAGGTACGTGGTGACGAGGGTTATCAGAACGATATCAAACTCACCAGCGCGGATAGAGCAAATGGCGACGAAGAGCGTGTGCGTGTGCAGGCAGACACCCTCCACCAACGACCGTCGTGTACAACCAGCTCCCGACGTTGCTCAATCTACGGGGCACCAGCAAAGACATCCCGCCACCTTTCCACGGACCCGCCCTGCCGGCCGACTTACCCTCAATGTATGCTGAATGCCGACCCCGAACACAATACAGTCTGCTGCGCAGCATCGTCGCTAGCGGCACTCATCCATGTCGATGCGCTTGCTGCACAGAGATGCCCTCGACGTCTCCAGCTCGTGGACAGGCAGATGACAGCCAAGTCATCGTCACGTACGACCCACTGCGTCTCCAAGCATCCGGCGACCATCCGACAGCGTGGAGCGAGGCGAACATGGGCGGGAGGTTGACCACAGGAGGGCGAGGCAAATGAAACGAGCAGGATGACTCACCAAGGACTACAACCAGGCGCGCGCAGACGACGCACGAAGTAGGTCCATCGCTCCCCGTAGTTGTAGTTGAAGATGACTCACCTGCATGCAGCGTACCTGGCAGACGCCTAGCAATGCTTACACTCCCCCTTTTCCACTCTGCGCAGCGCACCGTGGAGGCGATAACAGGAGCCGTCTCAAATCGTCGAGTCGATGGGGCCCTTACACAACTCTCCCTCTCTCACAGGTCATCGACGTCACCACCTCTGGCACACACGCCTCGATGACACCACGTCGCGACTCTCCCTCTCTCACGCAGCCTCTCACTACGCTACTCTACGCATTCGCACTCGCATTCCCGCGTCATCCTCTCTCTCTCTCTCGCATGCCATCCCCACTCGCATACTCACCCCGTCGCATTCCTTCGCTCCCCTCCAACGCCTTCCAACGCCGTCCACCTGGCAGATCAAAGCCCACCCCACTTCCATCCTTGTCCACCAACGCACGCAAACCTCGACCCCACCCTTCCTTCGCCCAATACACCTCCCTACTCACGTCGTCAAACCCGCAAACCGTCGCTGTGGATGGTCTGCAGGGAGTCAGTTAGTATGGGTTGGCAACCCATCTGAATCAGCAGCGGTACTTATTTGTACATACAGACTCTCAGATCCCTGTTTACGACAACTAGCGCCCACTCGTTCGCTAGCCGTCCGATCCGTCCGATCCCAACTCCAACGCACTCCCTTCCCGCGCCAACGCCTCCGTCTCCACTCGCACACACCACCGTCACCGCCGCCGTCTCCATTCGTATCCCCGCCGCCGTTCAACCCACTACACCGCCCGCGCACTGAACACAAAAAACAATTTCCCGCCAATTCGCGCAGAAAACATATCCTCTAAGAAAAAGTCAGTGTGCGCAAGTACGCGTCAGACGACGCTCCGGCGCTCGAACCGCGCAGAAACGAGGTCGCCAGAAAGCTTTTCGACGAGATCACGCAAACACGGGAGGGATGCGATGTGATGCGAGGAAGGGAGGGAGTAGGAACGAATGCAGGTAGACGACAGGCAAAGGGGACGAACGAAGGAATGGGGAAGGAACAAATGTCGCGTAGGTGAGTAGGCGATTCCCGCGTGCGCAAAGACGACTCACCTGCTACCTGCTCCCATGTAGTCCTTCGCGTTCGGTGTTGCTTGAATGCGACGACCCTATCTATCAAAGCCTCAGCCAATGCTTGCATTGGCTGGGCTTTGATAGTGGGGGCAGACCCACATATCAGGAACTTCCTACATTTCTTTGAGAAGCAGTATCAACATGTGGTGTCGGTTTGCACTGCCAAACCCAAAAAACACGAAAACTCTTGAATTACAATGTAGTAACCACAATACTTACCCATTCAATATATATATATATATATGAACCAAAGAAAGGTCATTAGCTTGTAAGTCTGCCTGCGCAAGCCTATCCACTGAGTCCTGGCCTAATGCTGGGTTAATTTTGACCAAAACTTATACTTTTGGCCTATTCACTCCCGTTTTTTGACCTCATTGCATCACTCTTTAGCCGGTTATCTCTTATAATTGTTCAATGTATTGGGATTTACTACCGACCTACTACTCACTAGCTATACATGCCTTAGAATTGCTACAAGCATGTATATTTCTCTACCAACCTACTACCCTAGAGAGCCATTCTGACATACATGAGAGCGTTAGGGCTCGCGTTCGCGAGCCCTAACGCAATCCCCACCCTTCCCATGCCTCCAAATTTTACTGACTCACCTGAACCCATGTTACTAGTCTCAAGATTATCTATTCCTTATGAAACTCAGTCACAGTTGAACACGATATCTGCGTACTTGATTCATCGGACTAAAGACTGCCTACAAACAATGAGCGTTAGAGCTCGGTCACGAGCTCTAACGCGGACCCAGCACGACTCCCAAGCCAACATATTAGGGCCGTTAGGCGTTAGGACTTAGGATGTTGAGGCTTAGGGTTTCGGTATATTATCTTCGGAGCTCGTTTACGAGCGACTGTCTCGGTAGGTTAGGTTAGGTGAGTGCTGGAATACTCGGACTTACCATTGCGTCCGCAAACTATTAGCGTTAGAGCTCGTTTACGAGCTCTAACGCGGACTAAGCACGACTCCCAAGCCAACGTATTTGCGCCGTACGGCGTTCACAAGTTGGACTCAGCGTTGCGTCGCGTAGTGCTACTTGGATGAGCACCACAGGCTCCCAACGTGATCCAGCGATCGTGGCGAATGTGGGCGCAGGCAGGACAGGAGCAGAGCAGAGGCGGAGAGACAGACAGGGGCCCCAACAATGTGAGGGCCCGTCGCGCAAAAGTCCGAAACGTTGTGCTGACGTGCAGAGACAGACAGGGGCCCCAACAATGTGAGGGCCCGTCGCGCAAAAGTCCGAAACGTAGAGCTGACGTGCAGAGACAGACAGGGGCCCCAACAATGTGAGGGCCCGTCGCGCAAAAGTCCGAAACGTAGAGCGAGACGAATATATGCGCGGGCAAAAGACCGAACCGCAGAGCACACATGCAGTGACAGCTAGGGGCTCCCGTATTCCGAAAGAAACGAGTCGAGGGGAGAAGCCAACAGTTCGCCGTCGCTCTACAAGCGAGGGCCCCCGTATGCCGAAACAAGCGCGTCGAGGGGAGAAGCCAATAGCCTATTGTACCCCTACGAGCGAGGGTCACCGCATCACGAAAGAAACGCGTCGAGGGCAGAAGCCAACGGCTCGCCGTCGCTCTACGAGCGAGGGCCTCCGCATACCGAGAGAAACGCGTCGAGGGGACAAACCAACGGTTCGCCGTCGCTCTACAAGCGAGGGCCCCCGTTTACCGAAACAAGCGCGTCGAGGGACAAGCCCATAGCCTATTGTATCCCTACGAGCAAGGGTCACCGCATCACGAAAGAAACGCGTCGAGGGCAGAAGCCAACGGCTCGCCGTCGCTCTACGAGCGAGGGCCTCCGCATACCGAGAGAAACGCGTCGAGGGGACAAACCAACGGTTCGCCGTCGCTCTACAAGCGAGGGCCCCCGTATACCGAAACAAGTGCGTCGAGGAGGGGGGGGATTGACGCGGCGTACGCGATAGAGACAGAGACATTAGGCGCCCCACCTCCATTGACATTCGATCGGAGACCGATCGGAGTTCACTTGGAGGCCATGGATAAACAAGCGCAAGCGGCGCTTATTTGCACTTTCGAAAATCACCAAGTCCATCGCCGTTCATCCCCATAGCACAGTAAGTCCTCTTCTCCCCCTCGTTCCCTTTCCTTCGTATATATATGCTCTCGGAAGACTATACGCCACGATTGTAGATCGTCGCTATAGTCAGGACTCGTTAGCACATGCCCACAATCGTAGATTGTCGGCGTGCTCCCCTACTTCCGAATGTAATCTCTACTTTTTACGCGACGCCGCATGATTCGTAGTTTCTTTCACGATCTCTCTTTTTTCACCTCAAGTTTGCCTTGTAGACCTCGCAAATGTATTGGTACAACACTGACACCACCCCAGAATGCCTATCACCGCTGCCCAAGTTCTTGCCAATCCCTCCCTCTTGACAAGCAATCGTTCGAAAACATGTAAGCTTGACCTCCTCATCCTGATTCTTCGTTAATCCAATCTCACAGCATTCAATTACCTCGACGGCCGTACTGGCGCCGTACTATTTGAAGGGCGCGCGTTCATAACCACTCCGAACGTCTACGCCGTCCATGAGCCCGTCATGGGGAATGTCGTCCCCATCCATCTGAAACGGGATGGCAGATTCGGCGCCGAAGACCCTTTTCAACGGCCCCAACCGTACATGCGAGAACATGCCCATCTTGCTTGCATCCGACGACCACCACCCAGCCGAGCCCTCACGCAAGACGTCATGTTCATGAACCCAACAGAACAACACTTCATATCTTCACTCGGCTCCAAACTCGGCTACATGGACGCCGGTCTTGTCACCCGTCTCCGCGATCCCTCAATCGATCTTGCCAAACGATACCGCCAATTCATGGCCAAACGGCCAGACCTCACTTCCACTTCCACCGCTACTCGATTCAACGGCCACGTCACGCAACTGAAGGTATGGATCGGCCGACTCGAGGCCATCAAAGCCCCGTGGCCAGACATCCTCTTCGCATTCACGCAGGTCCAGCGGCACTACCTCGAACTAGAGGCCTTTCTCGAGTATATGGAGGTTCGTCAGCCTCTGATGAACTCTGAAGAATATGGCAAGATCCTCCTCCCTGCCGCCCTACTCATCGGCGCCGTCACCAACACGGTCGTGGTCGTTGAAGAATTTGCCAAAGCTGGCGTTCCCGTCTGGCTCATACGCCCGATAGAGCAATTCACGGATGACACTCGCATTGATGCCGTGACGAATCCCTATCCACCTGAAGCTCTCGATATCGAGCTGGCACCGTGGCGTGGTCACAAAACGCTCGTCTGGAACAGGGCCGCGGACCATCCGCAACGCCATGACAATCTCATGCTCTTCGCTCGGGAGTTCCTCTCCTACACCGACTTTGGGCGAACTTCTACTATAAGGGATACCATCGAGAGACCCCCTGCCGTCCCTAGCTTGGGGAACGATTACTCTGCCACTGCTGGTCCCTCTCGTGCCGTGGAGGCAGCCAAACCTCCACCTGGGCGAAAGCAAAAGCCACATTATCCCCCCCATCGTAAGTTATCCTATTACATATTCGCACTCCACGTACTTACTCGTATGCTTACAGCGCCCAAACCTCGTATCAATCTCCACCCGCACGACATCAACCACTTCAAGCCCAATCCGAACGCAATGGCACCCATCATGATGGAGGCCTGGGTTCATGGGCTCTCTACCGTCACCGTGACGAAGGAAAAGGTCTCCATGAATTTCGCTGAAGGAGACAACGGCTACATCTTCCCTCCCATATCTGTCTTTATCCCCTTCCAAGTCGACGGCAACCTGAAACCTCGTCACTTGAAGCTTCTTCACGCTTACCTCACGCACTCCGACATCCTCATCTTGCGTCTGTCTCCTCGCAATAACCCAACGTCCCTCCTACGAGGCAACTGGGACTTGCTCTTGGGACCTGAGCGGTCCAACCCAACTTCGATTCCACCCAGCACGACTTCTACGGCGACAGCTGACGACGAACCCAAAGCAAAGAAAACCAAGGTCGAGAAGCTCGTCAAACGTCGTCAAAATTTGCAAACGATTCTCGCGGAATGGACGAATGAATATGATGTCGAGAGCAACGCGCGAAACGAAAGCCTCGCTTGGGCCAGCGAACAGCTTCCGAAGGACCGATGGCCCCACGACCGCGTCGTCGAGCGTATCCTCTACGAGATCAACGAGATCAACTTTCGCTGGGAATTCCGTATGCTCGATCGCAAGATGGTCAACCCCAACATCTCCTACGTCGCTCATGAGGATCTCATCACCCGATGCTTCCCTTCGTCTAGTTTCAAGGGGGAAGGAGGTGCTGACCACACAAGTGTGAAATACACGACGGCTTGGAGTGGGTTATCGAGTCCCGACGACAAGGAACGACGCCAATACGTACTTGCTCTCTGCCGCGTTATCGCCCATTGGCATAGATGCCCCGACGCAATCAACAAAGCTCTGAAGTGCGCAGAATCGGACGTTGACTTTCTGGCCGTCGAGAAGCTATGCGCGTCCTTCTACTGCAAAAGTTTCTTTTATTACTTTGCGCGCGCTCCCTCCGTCCCTCATCGTACTGCCATTGATCCTGAGATATACCTTATGCCCTGAACTCTTGCACGTATTCTAGCTTAGTTTTTTTTGCTCATACTCTACTCTACCTTTTGTATCATCTCCGTAGCCATACTATTACACGTTGCTGTGCTCTATTCAGTCGCGCTAGCCCGACACCTTCGAGTGACACGTCCAAGTCTGACTGTCTCCGAGCCATCAAGATAAGATAACCACATCAGATAATGAGCCATATTTGGTCTGAATGCCCTACGCAAACAACCGAACTCAGAAGTCCGCCTTGTCCCCGTCTATGTCCGTCCCGACGTCGTTGACCCAGTCGAGCAACCTTGTAGAGGTTCCTCGATGTTCTGGAAACACGGTGACATGATCGTAGATCATCTCGCTGATGTACACTGCATTTCTTCATGCTTTAGGGATCGCCGGAAGGCCGCCGAAGGACCCCATCAACAAGAAATCGTCGGCGATGGCAAACAGGTACGCCCATGCCCTTACCCCACCTCTCATATATACCAATGCGGTAGAATCCAGACAGAAGGGGGTTCGTATGACCGTCTCAGTACCTAAGAGAGAATGAGGACATACATGTGCGTACGTCAATTCGTTTTCACAACTTCACAGTAGTCACACGTCGTGCAGTGACACCTTCTATCCCATTGGACTCCATGTCCGCTACGGCTATGATTTTAAAGCCAGGTGCGTCGGGGGTGACTTTACCTGACCCACTGCTCACTTTACGCCCCCTCCAGCCTGCCCCTCGTTCGCCAACCAGCCTGCTCGTCATTCGCCAACCCAACCGCTCGTCATTTGCCAATCAGCATCCCCGTCGTTTGCCAACTCGGCCGTTCGTCATTCGCCAGCCCGCCCTCCGTAGATTACATTCCGACCCTAGATTACATTCTGCCAATTTGTTATATCTCGCCATTGTATCGACACAATCGTAGATTGTCTCGCATACTCCCCAGAATTGTAGATTCTTGGGCGGCATCTCTTTCTATCGCGTTAGAAATACCATCGGAGCCGTCGGAATCATACACGGACTCTTATTGTGGCTCCCTGTATTCGCAATTAGCAGTAGCACACCCTGTAGCCTCGTATAAATTGTATCGTAGACTTACCGCCTGGCCTTTCGTAGTTACCATTCGTACTGGACCGCTTTTTTTTCATACACCCAGAGCCCACCATGGATTACTGTGCCCACTGCGGCGACGAGGCTACGCGGAATCATGATCGTCGAGTTCATCCTGAAGAAGTTACGATAAAACCAAACGGTATTTAAATCTGAGAGCCATTGATCTTCAATTTTGTCTGACCTACGTTGAAGAAACCCAAGTCTATATCATCAAAAGAACGGCAAGCTTCCACTATAAGTGCCCATTCTGCGATGAGACGCACAAACGTGAAATCGACATTCGTGCCCACGTCTCCCAAGCCCACGCAGGCAGTCATACCCACCAGACTATGCGCCAACAATTGCCAAATGTCGCGGATAGCTACCCTTTGCCTGCGAAGCGTTCAAAGGACCATGCAGACGACGAAGCCGTTACGCCCAAGCGACCACGACTGGATACATCCTCGGCCATACTCATGACGACATTGCCTCCCTCCTCGCCCTTTTCTTGTGCCACATCGGAACCGCCGTCCGACTCCACCCTTGTCCCTTTGAGTCCCCTTTTCCAATCGCACTTGGGCAAGCAACCACCGACACCCCAAATTGTCGACCTGCCTACCAAGCGCGCTCCCCAATCACGCAGACGAAACGTAGTTAAAGAATTCACGCTGCAGCAGGCAGGGATTTATTTCCACCAGCCGACACGTCTGTTCCTCTGCGTCGAATGCAGCACCGCTGTTCCCGCCGAGCACATACCCACTCACGTAAACGACTCTTGCCCGCGACCTGTCGTGTACGATCGAGAACTCTTGCATTCCAAATTGGGAGCCCTCGACGCCAACCAAGATCTCGTCTTCCCCGTTGAAGGGCTGGATTCTCCCATCCCGTTACTGCCTATCATCAAGGGTTGGCGTTGTGAAATTCCAGGCGCCTGCTTCGGACACGTCTTTGGCGCAGAAACGACTAAAAACGACCATCAAAACCGGCAACATCCTGGAGCACAGGCGTCATTCTCTGTCGTTCAGTGTCAACAGGTTTTCAAAGCTCGCAATCGCACCCGATATGTCATGATCAAGCCTGCTACAGATCCCACCGCCGTCGTGCCACCCAATTCTATGACATCGTGGCGCGAGATCAAAAAGAAACTCGAAGTTGAAGGCGCATTGACAACCCCCGACGACCGCATGGTCACCCACACCCAACTCTCTCCGTTGGAGAACGTTACCAAATGGCACCTCACCCTCCCAGGAGCGCATCTCAGCTCCACTCGAGATTACTCTCGCGAACCGCAGCCAGAACAGGCGCCCTCCACTTACATTCGAATTTTTGCTGCGTTCAAGGCCTATATAGTCCAGATTGTCGCCCCAGTCGTCGAGCTGAAGAGCAACACGATGCTCCTTCACCTTATCAATTCACCGGACAAGTAAGTCATAATTTACGCCGCATTAGTATAAAATTCAACGGACATTATAATTAGAGGGACATGCGAACGACATCCGTTTCGACTACCTCAGAACCACTCAACTGTGTCTCACTACGCCTACATATTCTCCTGCATGATGACGTTCGTTGTTCGCGCAGTCGACAAGCCTATCCCAGGATTCCCTGTTACCACCACCGACGCGCAATTACTTAACATCCGCCAATTACTCACCACGGAAGTCCCGGAGGACCTCGAGCACGCACCTCCTCCCTTTTGGGAACAATTGCATACGCTATGCTGGTCGTTGTTCACTTCCATCCCAGTCTCCGCCGCATTCAACGAGCTCGACATTCCTCTGACGCGCTTTTTAATCGCGTATCATCTACGCGACGACCTAAGTTCTCGCTTCAAGGCGGCGACCCACATTTGCCATAATATGATTGCCATCCAATGGTGTTGGCGCGCCATGGCTCTATACGAATGCAAAAAACTCGCTCCCAAACACACAGAAGGTGAAATAGGGTAAGCGTATCACTTTCTGCAGAGAGCCCAAATTAACCGATTGAAACAGCGTCTATGAGTCGATCTCTCGATATATAACAGAGGGAGGACACTCCCCCTTTGCTGTCCTTCGATGCCACATCCATCCCATCACCGCGATCTCGATGCAAGAGCCCAGCCTCCCTCTCTTCCTGATGGGGGCAGACATGGAGACTTTCTCCTTTAAATCTCATCCGTTCACTATGTCCTCTTTCAAAGATTTCGCAGTAGGCCTGGTCTCTTCATCCGAGTCGCTGCTGCTATCCATTCTCGACGGACTCGATATTACGGACCTTGATGCACGCATCCACACTGCATTGTCACTCGACAACAGCGACGGATGGTTCAAAGACACACTACGAGACGAAGAATACGGATATTCCTTCATCACTGACAAAAGAAACGACTTCGCCCGATACCAGGATTTGTTAATGGATCACCTCTGTCGTAACGACAGCACCACGTATGCCGTCCATACTCCTGACGGCATCCAATTCAAACCCAACGCCCTCTTGTCCTTCATCGACGACGTTGATGACCTGGTCGAACACCTGTACGCCTCGTTGAACTTCACTTGGGCAGGAGCAGCGAGGGGGACTGAGATAGAGGACATACGTTATAAAAATGGCCATGCCCCTCGCAATTTGTACTTCACCAACGGCGTGCTCACCTTTGTTACTTTCTACAACAAAACCCAGCACAATACCGGCCGTCCGTCGATGATTCCTCGCGCTGTCCCACCCCGCTTGGCGCGCCTCTTTATCATCCTCCTCGCCGTCATATACCCCTGCACCAAGTACGTCGCCAGCATTCAGTCCACCAAAGCCCACGCCGCCCTCTATAGCAGCTGCATCTTTGTCCATCGAGCTCGACCGCTCAACACCGAGCGGATGACTGACATTTTACGGCGATTCACTCAAGAATACTTCATATTCCCTCTCGGCGTACGCGACTGCCGACACCTCATGAAATTCGTGCTGAAGCACGCCGTTGGTTTGGCGCTGCAAGAGGATCCGGGAGATACCCCATCGCTGTATCGAATCCTCGATGGACTATGGGGACATTCGGCGAAAGTCTCCCAAACTTACTATGCCGTCGAGGAGGACACGTTCTCCCACATTGATGCAAAGGATGTCACCAAAGCCCAGATATTCTCGCTAGCCTATCACGAATGGCTGGGCATCGGCTACGATCACCTCCCCGCCAACCTTCGCATTCAACATATCGACCCCGATAAAGTCCAAAACCCGGCGCCCGTAGCTAAGATCGACACGACTTCGTTTACCAAATCCCTCAACGCGACCATTCCTATTATTGGCGACGCGCTGCAATCCACCGTCTTCGATGCCATTCAGACGTATATGGACATGCAAGGCATCCAACCTCGACGGTCTCAACCTACCTCCCCCAATATCTGCACGTCATCCCAAGTCGTAGTCCATCCGACGCGCCAACGAGCGTTGGAACGGCTCTACGGGTCATCTGAACCTCGATTCACCAGCCCGCAGCAAGGAGAGCTATTCGAACTTGTCATGCAGAATACCCGACACGTCCTGGGCATTCTCCCGACAGGAGGAGGCAAAAGCCTTATGTTCTACGCCCCCCCGCTTCTTGAGACAGAGGGTATAACCATCGTAATCAGTCCGTTCGCGGCTCTAGCACATCAGCAATTTCAAGAAGCCAAACGCTACGGTATTGACGTTGTCCAATGGCCATCATCCCAAATCGACTGTTCTACCGTTCGGCTACTCGTAGTGCACGCTGAGCAACTCCTTCATGGTCAACTAGATGCCTGGCTTACACGCGCATCTCGACTTGGCCTAATCAAGCGTATCATCTTCGACGAAGCTCACAAAATCCTCATTTCGTCTGGTTATCGTGACTGCTATTCGAAAGTTAAAGAATTCATGGACCTCGGCGTGACAATCATCTTCCTCACCGCGACCATATACCGTCGGAGTATCCCCACGCTTGCGAAGGTCTTTGAAATCGACACCTTAGAGGTCGTAGCTGCGCCCACTATGCGCACCAACATCCGATATCAAGTGGATACGTACGATGATCAACAAATCCTCCTACTCACCCTCAAGGAAGAATACGTCAGGGCATATGAAGTCGCCGAGGCACGCGATCGCTTCCTCATCTATTGTCATTCATACGGCGAGTGCGATAGAATCGCGAAGGAGTTGGGATTACCTGTCTACAAGGCGAAATACACCAATGATCCCGAAGCCGATGCAGAGACGAGACGCCAAATCCAACAAGCGTGGGTGAGAGGAGAACCGCAAGGCCTTGTGGCGACCACCGGCTTTGGCACAGGCATCAACTATCCGTATGTCACCTACGTCTTCGTTGTCAATCCCTACGACATGGTGAGCGTTACCCAACAAACTGGTCGCGCAGGCAGAATTGGCCCGGCGGCACGCGCGATGATCATGGCTTATCGGCCTATGCTGCGCAAACTTCAATCCGACGCAGGGCCAGACCATGCGGGAAAGCTCCAACTTCACAAGTTGTTTACGACGAATACATGCCGCCGTCTAACACTAGGCAACTTTGACGACGAGGCCCACTCCTGCCACTCGTTGTCAGGTAGCACGCTGTGTGATTATTGCGAAAATCTTGAGGTGAGTAATACCGTCGCTGACCCTTGACACTCCTCACCCACAGTCTCTCCTTAGCACCTGCCGCCTGTTCCTCCATGTTACGTGTATCCTCATCACATGTCAGCAAACGTAAACACCAACAGCGGGGCGGAGCAACCGAGCAGCAGTGGCACTCGCCAACAAGGGCCCCATTCACTTACGTCGAATTCTGCATCGTCCGAAACAGCACGCGGGACTGTATGTGCGCCCATACCATCCGTGAGACATTGATGCTGACCGTTATTAGGGATACACAGACATCGACAATGGCTCTCAATCCTCCTCAGGAACCCAATCATTTTTCGACAAACACTGCGCCCGCCCTGTAAACCCGCTCTTTACTGCGACTCCTTCAGCGTCAGCGACGGCACCCCCACGCCCCAAGGGTCATCACCAAGGCCTCGCATTCAATCAAGCGGAAGGCGAGGCCAAACGTCTATTCGAGCAACGCCGCGCAGACTCACTCGAGCAGCTCTGCGACTTGAAATATAGGTGCCTAATATGCCAAGTCTTCGGTAGAAATCCCTGCGGATTTGAGAGCGTACTACAATGCCCGGTGACTGTCCTCGGCTACAAATGTCAATACCAACACGAAGGACGTTTGCTGTCTACCATTCACGATGAGGACTACAAACCGTTACTCAAGAGATTTGACCCCGCATCCAAAGTCTGCTGGATCTGCTACTACCCATTTTCTTACAAAAAGCACACCAAAAACGACGCAACCTGCCAGGAGCAGAAAGACATCCTCTCCCCCATCGCCTGGGCCCTCTTCTGTTTACCCATAGTTCTGTCGCCCGCCGCGGGGCAATCTTTGCAGGAGAAAATACTGACATCGGCCGGAATCACGGACCCAGTCTTCGAGACAGTGGAGGGGTATTCTAAATGGCTCGTCAAGCAACACCAAAGCGTTCAGAACTCTTCGAACCTCGTGGAAATATGCATTGCATTTGCAGACCTTTACCGCGCAAAGGACTGGCCGTAGAATATGGTAACTACGGGTTTCTCTCCGCTCTCCCATGTCTGTACATTACGCTACAACTTCCGCTGCGTCCTGCTCCAATCGCTCCACCGTATCGTCTACGAAGTTTGCGATATCATCCGTTGTAAAATACCGAACCAATTCCACCAACATCTTTCTATTCTCCATATCGTTACCCGTATGCCATGGCACATTGTCATCCCCTTCAACGTCGTCGTCTACCCTTCGCGCTCGCGTCAACATGTTGTCTAGAATGCAGCCGTGCAGCTTGTTGAAATCCGGGGTGCGGGTAACCATAGGACTCCAAATCGGGTCCAGGAGTATCACGCAGCCGAACTGGTTGCTAATCAGCCGGCCTTTAGCGTAAATTACAACTCTTGCTCACCTTCTTGAACAAACCCAGGACCTTATTACGCCTCGTAACGAGTCTCTCGTTATCTTTTGCCCATTTCCTCCTCAACGCTACCTCTTGTCTCCTTCGAGTAAGAACCTGGAACTCATCCAGCTGCCCGTGACATTGAAACTGGAACAACGCGTCGTTAGTCGCCCTTTTCCACTTCCTCCCTTCTGGCGTCTCCCCGATACTTTTCCAGTCGATCGCTAGACGCAGCGCTGCCATGGTTAAGAAGATCCCCTCCAACAAGTCAACACTCCCCTGCTTCATCCCACACTCAATCAAAAGCTAAACAATTAGCTAACGAATCCTTATCCCTGTGTTGAACGACGCATACCTTCTCTGACTCTTGTATTCTCTCCTTCTCCAACTCCAAATTGTTGATGACCATGAACTCACTTTTCACCCAACTAGGTCCGTACGTATAAGACGATTTCACGTCCGCGAAGGCTCGATCCTAAACACGATGAGTATATAATACTTCGCCCCTCATCTCACTCACCAATTGTTCCATGTTAACCATCCTGTAGCCGACGATCAGTCTCGCCAAAGCCTGTTCCTCCGACACACTCTTATGCAACGGCTTGTAGAAATAGCCATGCAGGGCTTTCGCAAGATCATTTGCGGATAACTTGCCCTCGACGGAACTCACATGCACCCAGACGCAGCGAAATCGGTCCTATCGGGGGTAAGCTTCTGTACTTTACCATGTCGAGCTCTCTCACCTCCACAGACTCATAGCCCAACATATTCATACTCTTTATTTGCTCACTCAGCTCCTCTGGCAACAGCTGCATCGTCGCGACCTTCGATTTACGAGGTTTCTTTACAATCCTCTCGCCAGTCTCGTCATCTGCGCCATCGCCGTCGCCAGTGCCATCGCCACCCCCACCGCCAGCGCCAGCGCCAGCGACATCGCCGTCGCCACCCCCACCGCCAGCGCCATCGCCGTCGCCAGTGCCATCGCCATCGCCGTCGCCAGCGCCATCCACATCCCCATCAGTTGCGCCATCGCCAGCACCAGCATCAGCATCAGCGCCAGCACTAGCTCCTGCGCCCGACCCCACACCGCCGCCTCCTGATCCCCTTTCTTTCTGCCCTCGACTTGCCGCCGACAGGTTCGTGATTTCTATATCTTCCTCTGAGAACTCACCCAGGTTATCCGCAACGTAGGCTTCCATCACTTCTCTCGCTTCGTCAGTGCATATATGCGCATATAGCTATAACAACGCACCTCGCAGGGTGCTTTTATCCACCTCAGCGCCCCATTTCAGCCTCGCACAGGCTATTTTAGCTAACATGCCCTTAGCCATTGCCTCCCGTTCCTCCAAGAACAGCATATATGCGTCTTCTTCCGCCGCCGTATTCAGTTCTCTCAACCGTAGCATAATTTGACAAGACTCCACCGCTTTATCCCACCCACGCTTCACATCATCGAAACTAACATCCTCAGGCCCACTGTCGAAGGCTTGCGTCAGGTTCCACGAAGGGGATCGTGCACTATTCGCTCGCGCAAGTGATTTGGGCGAACACATCTCGCTGTTATGGCCGTCTAAATGCGGCTCATATTCGCTTGACGCTGATGGCGATATCGAGCGTGACGCCGACGACGAAGTTGAACGGGCCGCTGAGCTCTCAGGGTCAGGGGAGGACACAGACATCAGGGCGGGAAGGGAGGGAGGTGATTGTTGTAGGATAAGCAGCGTAGAGAATAGCAAGGCAGGGGACGCAGCCTTAAGTAATACATCGACGCGACTTCGACAACTCTGCGCGTACCAAATCAAGATCGCTCGATCATGATCGAAAAACGTCATCCTCGCGTCGACGTCGACGCTTCTTTCGATCATGATCGAAACACGTCATCTCCGCGTCGACGTCGACGCTTCCCTCGATCATGATCGACCCGGCCCGCCTTATCCCGTTCGACACTTTGTCCTTTACCACCGCCAACCCAAACGCCAAAGTACGTATTCCCTCGCTCCTACTCCCGCTACAGCTCACCATTCGTAGTATGACACTCCTATACATTATCTCCACCCTTCTATCGAGCCCCACGCGCCGCGCTGACCGAACGGCGTTGGAAATCGCCGCCCAAGTAGCACTGATCGTGTGGAAACAACGGATCGACGCCGCGATTGGATTCGACGCGCGCGAAATTGAACGCTGGAACATCGTGTAAGTAACTCTACTCGTATTGCGCCACGCTCACCTCTTGTAGTCACAGTAAGCATGGAAATCGCAAGGATCCCCACCAACACGCGACCATGCGAGCGTATATCACCGGACGACCGGTCGCGACAATCCATTTGTGCATGACGAAGAAGTTCACCGCGACGGGGATTACAGTCTGGGCGAACGGCGTGCCCATGACCGCGCAGCGCATGGATTTAGTTGGGTAAGTCATCTCTCCGCGCCGCGACCAATCACCCTCATCAATTTCATTAGGGAAGTCTATTAGATACAAGAAATCGCTACATTTTGCTTATATTTTGGCACCACAGACCATACCAGCAGCAGCTCAGCAATACCAGTTCTCGCGTACTCAACTGACATACCCGCGTCTCACGCTCCTCTACCAGATCGGACTCGGGCGGCATTCGCGCACGTTCCCCATCCTCTCCGTCCCGTTTCCGTTCCACGGCCCACCCGACGGTGCTTATCTGTCTTATGCCCGGCCAGCGCTAGAATCTCACCCTCCGACGGCAAGTCGTCCCATTCGCCTAGAAATCAGGGCGTCTATTTCGACCTTAGCCCATCCGTCGAGCGTCAGGCTCTCGTTCGCCACTCCAACCGTCTCCCAGCGTTAATCGATGCATACACCACCACGACGCCACCTTCATCGTCGTCTCTGGAGCTCAGGGCAGCGAATCGTCGCCTTCCAATGGGTCTTGATTGGTTTTAACTCTGTGCGTACCCCATTTTCTCATTCTCGCTCCTTACTCGCGCGTTCACTCATTCGGTCACTCTATCACACACACAGAATACCCCAAGCTGCCCCAAGTCATCTCCCTCGTCGTCTATCTCGCCGGCAACACCCAATCGGACGCGAACTCGCCGTGAATCACTCTCAACATCTGCGCTTTGCGCCAAATAACTACGCGGCAACGAAACATCAAAACGAAACAGAGACTCGTTCAAATTGTCGCTGAACTTGCTTGATAGGCTCCAAGATGCCGACCTTGCGTGTCGTCTTGATGCACGTAGGCTTCTGTCTGGCGAACCAATTCCCTTGTTGGACGCGGACGATAATGGCCCCGGTGGGCTCGATGGGGTTGTCGGTCGCGATGGGCCCCTCTCGGACGTTTGGGAAGACACAGACATGAGATGAAGGTAAAGATCCAGAGCAGAGGAGGGCTAACAACTCAAAGGCGAGCTCTGACGGTTAGGTAATCCGCGCGACGCTTACCACCTTGTCCCAACCGCAGACCCCCTCCCCACCAAATCAATCAAGATCGAACCCATATCTTCGATCCTTCGATTGGGGACAGCTCCCGCATTCTATCCTTATCAGGACTTATCGCCAAATATGCCAAAATCCCCTACTTAGTCGTCGTCCATGTGCCACGGTCATAGATCATCGGTGTTCTTAGCACGGTCGATCTATTTTAAACCACGCGGTGTCAAACCTAATCGATCCGCCGCCTCGATCCCTGTATTAATATGACGCGTTGGTCTGTGCGTCACCGTGTCGCCGTATAATAAGTTGTGTCGAACCATCGTCCCTCCAATCCCTCCCATCTCCACCACCATGACCACCAACGCTCCGCTGCCACTGTTTACGATCGACCCAAACTCCGTCGTTGTCGCCACCAACGTCCCACTCAGCGAAGGATATGTCGCAAAATTGATCAAAGACGCCCAAATCTGCCCATTCTTCGGGTTCGACGTGGAGCTGACGCCGTGTAAAGAAGTCCGCCTCGTCCAAATCGCATCCAGGAACGCCGCCTATGTCTTTGACATCGATAAGATCAGCTGTATGTCCAAAATTCCCCATATATGCGTCTACTATACGACTTACGTTCGACAGATTTCCCAGATGTACTAAAGTCCTTCTTGCGCAACGACAAGTACGTCAAAATTGGCGTCGGAGTTCTCGGTAGGTGGAGTCCTCGAGCCCGAGTATGCAGCGGCATGCTTATGGTGTATTACAGGTGACGCCAAGGCACTCCTGGACTCAGACGAGGTCGAATTGGCAGGCGCAGGCGAGCTATCGCGGCTCCATAGAATGTTCGACCTGACAGGAGCGCTATCCGGACTGCACTTCTCGTCGTGCGTCGCGTTGGATACCTTGGCTAAGGTATGGCTGAGTCGGGGGCTCGACAAGGCTCTTCAACCGGCACACGAATGGGTCGGAGAACTAAGCGTCGAGCATTATACTTGTATGTGAATCGTATCGACCCACTCTGTCAATGCTCACTATCTTATCCAGATGCTGCAACAGACGCCGCTGTGGCTCTTGCTATCTACCACAGAATGATGTCCGTCAAAATCTTGAGCAACGCCCGCCCACGCCTATGGATTTTCAGCGGTTACGACGCATGCAGCAGAGAGGCTGTCGGCCTCGTCAAAGACTACGCGCCATACGCCGCCTTGAGTACTCAATGCATCACCTCTATGGAGGGATTGTTGGCGAAGATGAAGAGAAGGCATCAGGACGCTGACAACACGCTACCCGGCGACGACTTCCACACTTGGACCGAGAAGACGATCCCAGAGGCTGTCAAATTGTGCGCTTCTTTGACTATGGCATTCGACGTTTACAACCGGCAGATGTCCGTAAGAAAAGATAGTTAGCCGTACATCGTTCGTCCGTAATGCGTTCGTCGTTGAAATCCAATAATTTGTCACACCATCCATACCTTGTATTAGGTCGCGTGCAGAGACTGCCAGTATCTTACGCCACTTTATTAGGTTAAACCTAATTTGCAAGTATGGAATTCTTCAAATCTTGTTGCATATATCCCATGTATACATACTAATAATGTACTCTACAAAGTCTGACGGTGTTCGGCGGTCCCGTTTGTGAGCAATGAGGCATACAAATTGTGTCTGACAGTCATGACCGTCATGGGCGCTTGATTGACGGTCAGTGACAGTTATGACCCACGCCATGCTAGGGACATCTGAAGGACATCGCAGGCTGTGTCTACCACGCTGCACACTGGTGAGTACTCCTCCAGTGACTGTTGTGACTCTCCATGACCGGCAAGTTGACCGTCAAGTTGACCGTCATGACCGTCAGCCTGACCGTCAAGTTGACCGTCATGATCGTCAGCCTGACCGTCAAGTTGACCGTCATGACCGTCATGACCATCAGCCTGACCGTCAAGTAAGCGCCAATGACCGTCATGACCGTCAGCCTGACCGTCAAGTAAGCGCCGATGACCGTCAGCCTGACCGTCAAGTAAGCGCCAATGACCGTCAGAGGTTCTCACGCATTCTCCATTGTCTGAGGTTCCTCTCCGTTAAAATGAATGTATTCAGCAACATATTCTGCGCATATTTCCCTGAACCGACCCCTGAGATCACTTGCTCAGTTGCACCGGAATTCCCGAGCAAATAAGCGCCCGTTGACCGTCAATCTGGGCGCCTAATGACTCCGGAAAACCGGAGCCTATCCACTGCGTCCTGGCGCAGGCAAGAAAGAACCAAATCTGCTCAGAGGGATGAATATAAAGAACAAAGTACAAAATATAAAGCTATAATTGTTAAAGCAAGACATGTTCTTCTAATACAGCCGTCACCGTACTATACAAGACATCGCTCTTATCGTTCACAGTGTTTGTGAATAAGCAGGCACCCATCCATGGCTCTATCTCGCTCACCCAGAAGGAGTATTGGCCGTTTTCAGTCCTGAAGACACCAATATCCAGCCTAGCAAAAAGCCGAAGGTCGGACCAAAGGTTCCTTTCCCCCGCACCAACCTTCTTCCAATCTTCTTCCTGCCTCGTGATAAACTTGTAGAGGATATTGGTGGCGAAGCTACGAAGTCGCTCAAAGCCATGGGAACCCAACCAGAATGGGACATTGCTATCCAACATGTCGAACACCTCCTGATTGGATATCATGGACGCTGTTCGTTGATTGTCCCCATCGCCAGCACTGAGAAAATAATGCGTGAACAAAAGATAGCAACTCAGAGGTGTCTCACTCACCGTAGCTTCTCCAATGGGATGATGCTTACAGGCTCCATGGACACCATTTGGGACCCACCCGCACGCGTACCAACCGTGTAGATCAACTCGCCTCCAGCAAAAAAGCACCTCACCTCACCCTTCTGCTGCATCTCCTGAATGAGCGGTTGAATGAAGTAGTGAGGTCTTGGAATGGTCGCGTTCGCTGTTTGCCACATCTTTTTCGTCTTCTTCATGTCGTCCTTCACCTTTTTCAAGACTTGCCTTGCCATGTTGTTATCATCCACCTTCCAGACATGGCTTGAGCTTGCCCCCATAGTTCGCTTGATCACAATGGAATTGAGATCGACGTTCATCTGGCGCAGTTCCTCCATGTCATTGAAGCCCAATACTGCCGGGAATTTGCCAAGGGCGTCCATGAGGCCAACAGAGCAGTGAGCGACAGACAAAAGAATATTCCTTTTGTCTGATAACCACCATAGCTGGAATGGGTCGGGAAAAAAGACGACGGATTGGCTCAAATGTCTCAACCCATTCAAGTAAGGAGCCAAGTCCTTTGCCGGCATGGCGTTCGGGCTGTAGGTGGGATCTCTGAATGAACGTGAGCCACGGAACCACCGCAGGAAAGAGATCGACTCACAGAGGATCAAGAATGAAGTCCATTCCCCCGCAAATCAGGTCGAAGGACTGGAGTTGAATCCAACCCGGAGTCTTGGATCCTTTGAGCACGAGACGCATCCACTGTCCCATGTCCATGAACGTAATGTCCCAGGCATCCTTTCTAACCCACATCTTGATGGCCAAGGCTGACTGGAGCAGACTTGTCAGGTCTGGGTGAGAGGACGAGCGGAAGGAGGCTTACAAATTCATCCACCACATAGGGCACATTCGCCAAAGCATTTCCAAGCTCCTTCGCACGCAGCTTGTCCACTGAAAAATGATCTGGCCACGCCTTCAAAAGGATTTCTGCCAGTTCCTCGTCCACATGCTCTAGCCTTTTGAAGCCTAAGAGATCCCCTTCGTATTCAAAAAATCGAGAGACTGGGTTTCGAAAGTTTGGCAACCAAAGGACCTTTCTCCTGAAGCCCCTGATTTTATGCCCGTCCTTTGCCTTGGGAAAGGGAACGACCTGTTGGACCTTGGGCAGGCTGGATGCCGGTCTGACAGCCCAAGCGGTCGTTTCATGCTCTAGCACAAGCGAAGGTTGAGCGTGGCCGTGCCAGGGGGTTGGCGTGGCTGAGGGTTCCCGAGCAAGGCCAAAGTCGCGTGGATTGCGGGGCGTCAACCAACGTGTTTCATGGATGGGCGTCTCTGCGTTAGAGGG